TAAAGTTAGAAACCGTTTCTGTTTGATTGCTGGGCGACTCAGTCGTTTCTTCCTCTGCTTCTTCTTCTTCTTCCTCCTCCCCCTCTTCTTCTTCTTCCTCCTCCTCCTCCTCTTCTTCTTCTTCTTCCTCCTCCTCCTCTTCTTCTTCTTCTTCTTCTTCCTCCTTGGAAGAAAAGAACAACATTTAATTTCCCGGACAAATCAGTAAGTAAATAAGACAAGTTTAAAAAGATAACTAATATTACAAACTATAACCTCTTCTTCTTCCTCCTCCTCTTCATCATCATCATCGTCGTCGTCGTCGTCTTCATCGTCGTCGTCTTCATCGTCATCGTCGTCATCGTCCTCCTCCTCCTCCTCCTCATCATCATCCTCCTCTCGTGCTTTCCTGAGATCCATCAGCCTTTTCTTCTCAGCGTGGAGTTCCCTGAGTGCAGCCATAAGAGCATTGCTGTCCTCGCCTCCTTTTCCACGCTTTCTCCAGCCGCCAACGGGTCGCCCCAAACCCGCCTACAGAAAGTAGCAGGAGACCATCCCAGGAAACAGAGACACGTCTCACATAAGGACTGTGTGTTACAGGTGCTGTTTGTTTCTGCTTTTTGTTTTGTTTCTGACAGGTGCACCAGTTTTACACTGCGCTTTTCTGTTTGTGCTCCTTTTGTTGTATATTCACTCCTATTTTCCTAGAAATGAATCAATAGGCAGATAAAAGAAACACATGAAGAGGAGCCTTTTGGGAATTTTTAGAGCTTATCTTGGAAAAGCAAAATGTGTTCGGCTCAACAATTCAGATCATAACATCTGATTACAAAAGCTGCCAGACAGCGACAGCGACATGACCTAAAAGATGGTGTAATATGATTGTGTGTCATACTATTCTATATGCGATGGACTCCACTGTGGCTGCATGCTTCCTCCGGGCACTTCTCCTTCTTCTGATCGCCTCCAGGTCTCCAGAGCCAGTTTTTTCCTGCTTGATCACTTTCTCAGCATTTGCTTGGAGATGCTCATCCTCACTCTCTTCTTCACCGGGGTAACAGAAAACACAAATCAAACCAAAGATGCAGTCATGAAGGAATACACTGTTCGATTTTTAATCCTCTGTGTGCAAAATAGGTTAAAATTCTCCGTTATTAAGTGTTTATTAGCCGAGAGCGTGCAGACAAAAGTGGGCAGACTTTTAAAACTTACCAGCAGTGTGTGCGCCCGACACCGTCACCCCTGCGTTGATCCTTGGCGAAGGAACGGGTGCTATTTCTAATTCGGATATCTCAGTGGAGACTTGCATTAATGCATCCACGTCATGCCAAGAGTCCAAGTTTTGTTCTGATGACACTATTCCACTCAGACAGATGAACACGACCCACGTCCACGCTTGCATTGCTGTATATTTATACTCTAATCAAGCTTTTTTCTAATGCAGAGAAGCCCAAAGGGTTTAATTTCTAATCCTCAGAGCTGAAGCCAAGAAGAAGCATCAGAGCAGGAAGCGCAGATGGTTAGGAGTCTACTCAAAGAGCAGCAGACAGTTCTTCAGTAGAGCTTTGTGAATGCAGGGTGAACGCTGTGGTTTCCCTTCTGTTCTGAGTCACCTTGAAGCAGTGGTCAAACATATTGCACGAGCTCGCTGCTCAGAGGAAATGTTACAATGAAGAAAGAGAGAGAAAGAGGACGGGACATCCAGCAGGCGGAGAGGTAAAAAAAATAAACTCTCAGTGTTAATAAAGAGCCTCGATTGTTGTACCGTGAAATACACAGACACACCCTGCTCCTCCTGGTCTCCACTTCATAACTGTCTGCGAACGTTACGTGGAACAGCTTTTTCTCTCCTGGAGGAGACGCTGACAGGACGGTGGGGGGGTGATAGCACAGTAAGTTTTGCACACTGGTGATAGATTTTAGTCGTACAGTCTGTTGTGATTTGACAAATGCGTTTTTGTAAACCGCTGTCACTTTTGTGCTTTTTCTGGAGGGCATCAGAATGTTAGTGTGAGGATAGTCGACCTTGTCCAAGAGGAGACGGTTGGTACACAGTTCCCGTCGGAGGCAACCTTGTTTGGCAAACCTCCGCCAGCATCTACGTCTGAAGTCAAACATGAACCCTGAGTAATAAAAAGTGAGGACGTCTTTACTTTCTGCACATCGACGGCGGAGTGTGTGCATCCTCACACTCGCCGTCTGCCCCTCACTGAGTGTGGAGCCAAACTGGGATGTTCGCTGTGGGGTGAAACCTCTTTATTTGCTCAGCAGACACACACAGTCGTGTTTTCATATCTTCGTGTGGACGTCTAATTGACATATTGCTTTCCCTCGCTGCCTAATCCTAACCCTGTCTTCAAACTCATGGGGCATTTTGTCCCCACAAGTGACTGTTGGTCCCCACAAGTAGAGCAACTTTCCAAATTTTGGTCCCCACATTTACACATAAACAAACATTACATTCAGTCGAATGTGCTTCAAAACATCTTAAATTAACACTACTGTAATATGCGATCAAATCTGCAGATTGTGCTGTTTTGTTGTTTTTCCACACCTGAGGAGAAACTGATGAGACAGCAGCAGAATGCAGACATATTCCAAATGGCACTCTGGACAAGTTGACACCAAACACTGAAACACGCAGGCCCTCGTGTGCTCCTCCAAAGTAAATAGCAACGTTTCCAAAGATGATTCATTTTTATATCTCGACAGGAACACGCTGTCATCTACAGACCACATTCAACCCCTTCATTGAGTGTGACAACACCCTGAATTTGCACAGCAACAAAGAGATGAGGAGTTGAGGACACCCAGCATAAACGCTAAGCTTACTTCTCTGACTGCACTTACATGTTTAAGAAACAGCGCATGTTTTATTATCCTTCCTGCGGATGACCAAGTTAATCTGTTTCCTTTTCACTCTGAAGGAATATGTTAAAGTCAGCACGACCGCTTTCAGGTTTGTAACATCTCTGACACCAGTTTGCCAAATGCTGAATGTAATAAACTAAACATCTGCAATCATGAAGCATCTGAGGTGACAGTGAGGCAGTTACTGAAATAACGAAGCTTTTATGCTCACAACTGAACGGCATTTCAAATCAGATATGTTTATTAGGCC